TTACCCACGTTTACATGTCCTCGAAAACCCATTGTACTTGCATTATTATAATATCGTGGGCGATCACGGTTAAGAAGTGCTGAGAATACGAATACTACAGTCAAGAAAAACAGACCCAAACACAGATAAAAAACAGAGTAAAATACTGCCACTTTCGCCCAATTGTCGGATGAACGTCCCATAAATGTTCTTCGTCTCGAATCGTAGATGAACCGTCCCAATGAAGCTAACATTGATGGTTTTTTGTCTTTATTCTTTATTTTAGCTTTTTCCTTTTTATTTAGCATATTAGCAGATTCACCATCTTCATCGGTATTTGCATGACCCTTGGCAGTGGCATTGTATCTCTCCGCTTTATTATCTGTATCTTCTTTTACCATCTAGTGAAAAAAAATATGAAACATTTAATTGTCTCAAAATTCTAGGTAAAAAAATGTTTGTTTTTGATCTATGCTAACCATCACATGCATTAGATCCCAGGAGATCAATCTTGAGCGAAAATCTTGACCAAATCTTACAAGTATGCCCAAGATTCTTGACGAATCCGTCAGGATCAAGGGCAGATTTATGAACCGACGTCGGGAATCCTCAAAAATTTTACATGATCGAAATGTCCAACAGACGTTTCAAGATTCTATTTGACTAAACTTTGGTCAGATTTGAAAGCAGATCTGCTCAATATTGAAAAAAGATTCTGAGAAATAAAGTAAATTCCAGAGCTGAGGGCTTAGATCTTCTAGTAACTTCAACTTGCGAACCTACATGTCTTAACCCAGTTGGCTACTTTAAATATACTATTCTAAACTATTTGAGACAACTGAAAGTGATCTGTACTTTGATGGAAAAAATTTGAAATTCGTTTTACAGTATTTCATAACTTTTGAGCGAAAAGCAATGAACAGATGCTGTGTTTTCAGATCTTAGAGGTAAAAAAAGATTCTCTATTCGAATATTATAGTTTTAGAAATCACAAGAGCTCGAGTTTCGAAAAATAGGGAGTTGGGCTCGAGAGTTTCAAAATTTCAAAAAAATATTTTTAGCTCGTTAACCGATAACTTTTTCCAGGAAACTGCGAATGAAACTACTAACTCAATGCTCTAGAATGAAATTAATCCTTTTTTTTATTACTTATAACCTGAAACTGCAAATAGAAAGGTTTTAAAAAGACATTTAAAACAAAAAGCGATCTCATCTCTAAAGTTCGAAACTTGGAAGAAGGGGGAGCGAAACCGTAGCAGCTTCCATTTCTTCTTTGTTGAGCAATAAAACTTATTATTCAAGGTTAAAAAACCTTTTAATTTCAAAATTAATTCAAAATAAATAAATTTAACAAACATATACAAAACGTGAGCAGATCTTGATAAAGTTTTGTCAAGATATTTGTTTTGAAAACCATTTAATCAAGTTTTTGTTCAAGATGGTAAAGATCAAAGTCTGCTAAAATCTGCTTCAGGATCTTGATTAAGATTAGTCAAACAATCTGTTGGACAAAGAATCTTGCAAGATCTGCTCACTGAAGATATAAACTTTCTTTGAGATGTGGAGAGTTTATATGTAAAATATTCTTCCTTCCTATTATTTTGCTCAAGTGAGCAACTTGTACCACGTATTATAATTTATAAAAATTCATTTTTACGCTAATAATGTTGTATGTTTCGTAATTTTTTCGTATTGTTATATACTTTTAACTACTTGTAACCCACTTTCTTATCTAAAATAACGCATATATGTTCTTTCTTATGCCGTTGTCTATTTTAAACATGTTAGCCTATGCTACTTGTTTGCCTATATCTTTCTATTTAGGGTACTTACTTTAGTAATTAATATTGTATTATAAAGTTAATTATTGATCAGTTTTCTAACGTTCGGATAACACAGAAATAATCAACAACTGGTACGGTGAGTTCCAAAAACGTAACGATGAAAAGAAAACACAAACATGACGTGAACATTGAAGCGTATCGTCAAAAAAAAATGTATAATAATTTTCTTTTTTTCTTCTGTACTGGTCTAACCGCATGTATCATGCACATCCTTATATAAAAATTAACCTGAGGAAAGAGTAACCTTCTTGAATATGTGTTTAATTTTACTATCATATACAAAATATTTTAGTGTATATATGTTGAAATTTTCTTAACGATAGATAGAAGTTTGATCCAGTCATTTATTATCTGATTTAGCGGTTTGTGAAGCTCGTTTTAAAAAATATTTTGCATAATCAAAAACCAATGTGGGACTCAGAGATAAAGCATTCTTTTTGCTAAAAAATTTCCCAACAAAAAAGAAAATTTTCAATGTTTATAGTGAATAAGTTAAGTTAAGTAGATAATATTGTTCTGAAGCGCTTCAGTTTTATTTAATGACTTATTTCGCTGTATAGAAGTTGGAACGGCAACTTATTTGAATTAACTTTTTTGAGCTCTACATAATTCAATACTTGTTAGTAGTTCTCTGAAAAATCTCGTTAAGAATAAATTTGCTTTTTTTAAAACGTTGGCCAAATACTTTCCCACGCCAGCATTTTTAAAACACAAAATATTCACTGTATTCTAAATTGGATGATTAAAGTTCTTTTTATATGCCATCTAGTGGTACAATCTTAAAATAAAATGAAATTAAAATACTTTATAATTTAAATTTCGCTACTTTTGACTTTAAAAAAAATCAGAAATCGGAAAATCGAAAAAAGTTTTTTAGCAAATTTCAAGGCATGATCAACAATTTTGGTAGTCGTACTTTGAGTCGAGCATGTACACGTTTTTAAGATGAAATTTTGAAAAATATTTTTTCTTTCTTCACCAGATTAACGAGAGAACATGCCCAAGTGTTCGGTCGGCTTCTTTGTGTATGCCATACACACTGTATGGTACTCTGTTTGAGGTTATTGTTGATGTTGATCACAAATCTGATATCTATTTTTTCCTTACATCTTTCCGATACCGTCATATAGAAACAAGTCTCTTGAGACCCATTATTATTACTTGTAATGAAATTTTTTGATTTCTATTTTAATTGATGTAAGCTTGAACCGATTGCATCATACAAAAAATTGATTGGACATCATATGGTCGGAATGACCTCGTAAGAAGGGCAGAATCAAAGCTTCAAAGTATAGAAATCAGATTGCCCGTATAACGAAATAGTTATCACAAAATTTTGGTTAATCTTTGAAGATGTTAATTTCAGAATATTTGCAGTAGCGCCACCATAAAGACGCGACTTGAAATGACTTCTCGCATAAAGTGCAGTAGGGGTTAATCGTTATTTTGTGATAATCATTTTTTTATATGGGCAATCTGCTTCTATGCTTTGAAGCTTTAATTCTGCCCTTCTCATGAGGTCGTTCCGGCCGTATGCTTAGGAATGTAAGCAAAAAAAAGACCCCGAATCCTCATTATCCTGGACAAACATTTTCTGTGAAGAAAACTTCAACGTACATGTAATGCGACGAGCACTCGAACATACCTGTAAATCGACGTAGTTCACCCTGCTTAGATGTATAGTATAAATATGTATCATATGTTTTCTGTTGCTATTATTTCTAGTACTTTTAGTTTAAGTACGATTGTTTGAAGTGTATCATACTTTGAAAAACTTGATTTTTTAGACAAATATCGTATATCTGCGAAGCAAAAAAAAATGTTTTTCATTTTTTTCAAGTATTTCGAGTGACCAGTTAAACGAAAGTTTGATAATTGCATTCTTATACACTGAATTTCAAACAGCAAGCGGAAAACTACATAAATAGTTCAATTATATATACATGTACAGTCAATCTATGCCTGAGTAATGTTTTCTTTATACAAATTGAAACTCGTCATTCCACGAGATTTTGTTCCAAGAAGTTCCTGATAAATATTAGCTGCCCAACCTCGACATACAACATTGACCAAACGATATGATGGTAAATTAGTGAATTGAACAAGCACGAATGGTTCAACATGTTGAGGTGTATTGCTACAAAAAAAATCGTTATATTTCAAAAAGAGAAATCAATAAAAAGGTCAACACTTACAGATATGGATAATAATAAAATGGCATTCCACCATAATAGGGATTTCCTAACGGAAAAAGTATCGAATAATATGTCAGAGGGCCGATAACATCTTGGTCCGCTGGATACTAAAAATTATCAAGTAGATAATGATGGAAAAGTTTTTATTTTCTCTTCTTGTACACATACCAATCCGTTGCAAGTGATATAAATATTTTGTGTATTGGGATCCTCCTTCAGCGTTACATTTACACCAATCGCATTCTCGACATTAGAAATAGTATCTGCTGATGATTTAGGCATCCAGGCATATATCTAAAAATCGTAGACGTGATACAGTCACAACTTGAAAATAGCTCACAATACATTGATTTTTACCTTATTTAGTTTGATTAATATACAAGGCTTACCAGTTAACCATCCAAAACCGGTTGATTCCGAACAGGGATGCCCTAAATAGCACATATCATCACATTAATTAAATAAATATCTGGCTTTAACTCACCTGGTGTAACAATATCAGACCATGAAAATTTGCATGATTTTGAAACAGGAAGAGCTGATGCCGGACTATATGGTGTACATTCTTGAACAGAAGTTGGATCGGTTTGATTCAAAAATGCTTAAAAGATAAATATACTGACTAATAAAGATGAACGTTTGTATTATAAATTAGTTGTTTTTAATGCAATGAAAGTCTGAAATTGTAGTTAGATGTTTTATACCATTTTTATACGCTCGTAACGAGGCTATCAGTTGTAGTTGATTAGACTTATCATTTGAAACTATTAATGAGTTGTCCGTTATATCGGGCATTGGACGAAATGCCATCCCTAATATGAAAATAATAAAAATTAAATATTTTATATCATATTACTTAAATAACGTACCAATATAACATTTGCCTGAATCAGTCAGTGCACTATGAGTGTACTCATATCGAGGTCGTTCTCGACTAAGTATAGCAGCAAATATGGCCACCATTCCAGAGAAAAAGAGTCCTAATGCGATATAGAAAAAGAAATAATAAATCGATAATTTCAGCCAATTATCGCTTGTTTGTCCAAATATTGTTTTGTGTTTATTATCAAATATAAAATTTTTCGTCGAAATTAATGTTGACAACATTTTTTCTTTGAACGAAAGTTTTTTTTTTTTCGTATCATCAGCACCTTGTGACACGTCATCTTTCTTCATCTTGTATTAGAATGTATCTGAAAATAAAGTATGCGTTCAATCTCGTTTTTAGAATTTATATTTAGTTCAATGAAATTAGTGGCTCTCGCTAGCCATGAGTTCTCCAAGCTTTAAAATACTGACTAATGCACAGCGTTTTTTCTCAAAATCTTTTCTTCTCTTCGTCGCTTCAAAAGTTTCCCAAAACTTTTACTGACCTTAGACGCCACAGAGCTCAGAATAGTCTTGCTTACAGAGAAATGTTGTCTTTGACAGTAGAGAGCGGAAGCTTTGAGTTTCATTTCGGAAGACAATGGAAAAACTGAAAATCTCCTAAAAACCTAGAGCAGACTTTTAAGGGTTTTGACAAAATCATAAATCATAAAATCTAGTAGCAAAAGTATAGTTTTCAACCTGAAACGTAATACCATGAAACTTACCTTTTTGAAGGTTCTCTGCAAAAATAGCCATAACTCTATTAACGACTATCGTGGAGAACTGGGAGCCATCTCATTTGTAGCGAACTCTTTACTGTACTAGACTAACGACCTAGAAAACTTTTAAAATTTTGACAGGACCAGAAAAATGTTTTTGAAAATGAAATAGTAGAGTTTGTCAGCGTAGACTAACAAACTTTAAAAAAGAAACACACTCGGTAACCCAGAAGGTTTTCTATTTTTCGGCAAGACATATTATCAAAAGTTTAAGAAATACTTGAAACTACTATTATTTTTCTACAGAATGTTTTTTCGCCATTTTGTTCGAAAACTTTTCATAACCTTTTGACAATACCCCTTGCCAATAATAGAAAATCTTCGGCGTTAACGAGTGTGCTGAATACAAAAAAGTACCTTTTCCCTGACTCTGCATGAACTTTATTTTTTTCTTCACTTGAATATGTTTGATTTATAGAAGCAACTATTTGTTTTTGCTTTATTATCTGGTCATTGATCCTAGTTCTTTTTTAATATAGTTGATAATCTAGAACGAATATACTTGAGTGCATTGAACCGTGCAATACTTTTATACCTTCGTTGCTTGATAAATCGAATATTGCCCGTCTATATTAACGAATGCACGAATAGAACAGTATAGTTATGCATAGACATCGTATTAGTCACTGAGAAACAAGAGAAAATCTGTTCAAAATACCATTAGTGTCCGCCGAGAACTTTTGCTTACTCTTTCTTTAGTAGAGGAAATGTACAAAGAAGGAGATGTGTTAAATAAGCCAATCAAATACCATCTCAAATTTGATTCTCAGATGTATATAACGAGAAGACATTTCATTTTATGATACTCACGGCTTTTTTGCTGTTCTTTCAGTGTGAACAGTTATAAAAAGTTAACATGTTTTTCGAATTTACTAACTTTAGGATATACTTTTTTCGAGTGAAGCAAGTTCGAATGGAAGTGTGACACGGAATTCGATGCGGTATTTCATGCTGAACAGAACTGTATACCATTCAGTTGTTCGATCCTATCCAACGAAAAAATGGGAATATGAATGAATATACGGTTGAAATAAGTTAGATGAAAAAGTTCAACACAAAACTCTACAATCAACGCGCATTTTTCTCATTTTTTTAAGTTGGGTGTAAAGTTTTATGTCTGCCTTATCCACGCCAGAATACATTTTCATTATGCTCTTTTCGATATACTATGCCTCTTGCTACTACCTTTTAACTGCTAACAACCTTGAAAGTGACATCTAGTAAATCATTGATAAGTAACCAGGCAAAAATGCAGGAAATTATGGTCAGTGCTATGTCCGCTGAAAAACTATATAGCATGCTGTAAGTAAGCTGACACTTAATTGCCTATACCAATGAGATACAATACAAAACATGGATTTTCACATTAGTTAACGTATCTAACAGAATCTCTAGTAGTTGTCACAGTTGAAAACTTTATTAAATACCAAATACTTTTATAAAAGGATTTTAATTACAACATTAGTTCAATAATATGATATATAAGCGTTTCCCAGTAACCGTGACAAACGAATCGTTTCGTCACGCATATTTTGTTTTGGAGAGATGAAGTAATCAAATAAATATTTATCCGGTGAATTACCAAAACTAAGCAATTCTAGAAGAGAACACAAATGAAACTTTGTATGGCACGTATATTTATTCACCCTATTGGAATATATTTCGTGAAATATTCTTTCAGAATCTGATGTTTTTTTGCAAAATCTTTGTACATAATTCCTATAATATGAATCGTGTGACTTGATAAGATAGCAGCATTTGAGGATTACTTGACTGAGCACAGTGTGCAACAACGTGGACATTAGGTGAAAAAATGAAAGTGAGATTTTTGGAACTTTGAACAGTGTTATATATGCATTAGTCAACGGCCAGTTTATTTGTGAAAAAATTTTGGTTCTAGCGTTCATCATCTTCGAGAAAAGTAAATCGTAAACTTCAGACTTTTTTACGCTAGTTTAGTCAAAGTTGATTTATCTTGTCAGATGATGCGATTTTTGAGAAATTAATTAATATATTCTGAAATCTGAGCTGTCGATTGGTAAAAAGTTTGGTTTTGTTTGGAAGTCCTTTCTGTCTGAGAAAATAAGTTTTTTTCTTAGAGTAAACGTTTTCCCGAAACCTGTGCTCAATAAAATGAGTTTCCAAATTTTTCCGAATGTCCAGCCTTGACGAAACTTTCAAGAAATGCTCTTCTACATACAACGCAACTACACTATTACCGAAAAATTTCTGACCGGAGATTTTGATTTTGCAAAAAACTGGTTTTTGACAGGATTTCCCACCGTTCCTTCTCTCCGACGGATTATTGTTCAAAAGTAATAACAGATTCAGAATTAGCATAAAAAACTGCATCGAATGATGTCTTTTATATCTTTTTATGCACAAAAATCGTTCGATTTAATGAAATAACAAACCTGCAGCATTCCCGTAGCAATTTTGGCTAGGCAGTTTTGGCTAGGCACTAGGATTTTCATTTGAAAGCAGTCTGAAAGCCTACGAAAACTATTTCCCTAGGTTTTTGTATGCGCTTTTTCAAATGGTGTGGTTTTACAAAGTTCGAAATCACTTTTAATTAGGGCTACATTACTATTACTAGTAATAAGTAATAAGAAAAGCGTTATTACTTATTACTTGGTAATAAGTAATAACTGTTATTACTTATTGCCAAGTAGTAAATAATAACTACAAAAAGTAATAAAAGTAATAAAAGGTAATAAGAAAATAAAAAGACGATAGAAAATATTTTTAATCATCAATTGGATTTCGGTTCTCACATTGAGACATTAACACAATATTGAAACTTATTTTGGCATCGTGAGTTATTT